TTTTTTTTTTTTTTTTTTTTTAATTAATTTATTTAATTTGGACCATTTCTCAATTTATGCGTGTCATCCTTGAAATCGCAGGGGCCATGCTAATCTTCTCTGTCTTGTTCCAATTTTTACGGATGTCCCGAAGGACACAAGTTTCTTTTTCAGGAAGGCCGGGGCCACGTACTGGCGGTTTAACCCACCACTCCCTCCGACAGGAGGAAATTGCGCCGAGCGGTAGCTCGAATTTGCAAAACGGCGTCCAGACTACCAGTCGGCGACCGGACGCCGACTACTGGGTGAGCCTTTTCGGTGGGCCCTGCGATTCGTCGGGATGGAAATCCCCCACCCGTGGCAGTTGTCCATGTGGGAGGTAGACGGACATGAAAGCCGTGTCGGCCTGTTCGAAATACGTACGTGCAAGTCATAGGGCCTCGCTGCACGACTCCTGGAAGCTGCAAGAACGAGACTGATTCCTCCGCTAGAACGTGGAAAGATACATTGCCATCTTTTTTGTCTTTTCTGCATGTGGAGAGTAGTGCAGCGAGGCCCATGTTTCGAAATGCTATGCGTTTGTTTTTGTTTCTATTTTTTTTGTTCGCATTTCAAAGAAAACTAAACATAAAACCAAAAAACATTTTCGGACGGACATGAAAACCGCTAGCCCCTGTACGAAATGTCTACGTGCAAGTCATAGGGCCTTGCTGCACAACTCCCCGAATCTGCAGAACGAGACTGATTCCTCCGCTAGAACATGGAAAGATAGATTGCCTTCTTTTTTGTCTCTTTTCTGCACGTGGACAGTAGTGCGGGTAGCTCCATGTTTCAAAATGCTACGCGTTTGTTTTTTTTTTCTATTTTTTTTCTTCGCATTTCAAAGGGGGGGAAAAAAACGAAATGCTTTTCGGATCCCTGCCAACGGCCGCATTCATTGCGGCGTCCTCTACGATACGGCGGCCACTGTTCCCACCTTCGAAACCAGCGACAGCAGGAAAAGCACCTGCGTGCCGAAACAGAGGCGGCTTTTTTTTCGGACCATACAACGGAAGCTGGACTAACACACAATCTATGACCAACATGGGTGTGAGTGCGAGCGCGAGTGGGTTGTGTGTGGTGTGTGGGAGAGTGTTGGCCATAGCTACTGCTGCTACTCGATGAGGGGTGGGGGACGATGAGAAAGGGAGGCGCAGCTACTGGCAGGTCTCGGTCTTTGTGTTAGCCAGACCCCCACTGGCGGCCCCAACCCTATACCCTAAACATTAGGGGCAAGGGGCAACATGAAATCTCCCCTTCACAGTGAGATGAGAGGAAACTATGCTTGCAGGGGTCCCCTCTAGATAGCCTTAGGAGTAGGTAGTGAAAGGCAAAAACAGAAGTTGAGTAAAGAATATAGAAAGAAAAAAAAAGAAAAACACACATTTTCGTCGACCGGTCCCGACTTCCCAAGGGAACTGGCCCCGCTGTTTCGGCCTCCGGTCGCCGCCGTCCGTAAAAAGTCGCCCGGACTCACAGGAGGGGCTATTTTGTCCTGTCGGAGGGAGTGGTGGCGAGCCTCTACGAAGAAATGTGGCTCGAAAGAGCGAGCTGGGAGTCTGGATTTCGGAACCTGTTTAGTAGCCATTGCGTGGTTTCTTTAGGTCTTTGCCTGCTATAGCAAAAGACCTTAGCCTGTTAGCAAAACAATGTCCGGCGCTGGACCGATCAAACACGTCACGCCAAACATTGAGAGATGAAGAGCATTGAAATTTCTTCGCCATAAAACAAAATGAACCAGAAAAACGCTGAACATTGAGAGACGAGAGCATTGAAATTTATTCGCCATAAAACAAAATACACCTGTGTTAAACTCCGGACCGTCCGGTGGCCTGGCCTTCGTCTGCCAGGGGTCCCAGGCGGCCCGGCCGGTTGGGTCCCCCCCGGTTTGGGGCCGAGCGAGCCCAGCGCAATTTCGCGCGTGAGGGGGGGAAGGCCTTTTTGGGCCAGCGGTCGCCTCCCCAGCCTCCAGCAACACAATTTTTTCATTGGTTCTGATCTAGGACTAGTTTTAGGGGGGTGGGAAGGTCTTCTTCGGCAACTGATCCCAGTCGCCGATCTGCAAAGATCAGCGGCTGAGATCAGCCACCAAGAAATGGGTTCCCCCTCTGGCGGGCTATGACGGCGCGTTCGAATTCGAACGCCGTATTCCCCATTGCGAAGCCCGTCGTTGCTGCAACTGCGAAGCCGCCCGTTGTCGTTGCCATTGCGAAGCCCGCCCGCCGCCCCTGCCGTCGCAAAGCCCGCCCGCCGCCCCTGCCGTCACAAAGCCCGTCCGTCACCCCTGCCGTCGCAAAGCCCGCCCGTCGTTGCTGCTCCTCGTCGAGCTGCTCGCCGTTGCTGCTCCTCGTCGAGCTGCTCGTCATTGCTCTCCGTGCCCTCCCCGTCGTCGCTGCCCGTGAAGCTTCTGTCGCCATCGTGGTGAAGCCTCCTCCACCTCTTTCCTTCCTCTTCTTCTTCTTCTTCTTCTTCTTCTTCTTCTTCTCCTCCTCCTCCTCCTTTCGTATTCATCTTCTCCTCTCCTCCTCCTCCTTCTTTCACCTTCTCTCCTCCTCCTCTGCCTCCTTGCGTCTTCTTCTCTCCTCCTCGTCCTCCTTTCGGCTTCTTCTCTCCTCTTCCTCCTCGTCCTCCTTTCGTCTTCTTCTCTCCTCCTCGTCCTCCTCTTCGTTTCTTCTTCTCCTCCTCCTCGCCACGATTTCATTGGTTTTCTTTATTGTCCTCCTCCTCCCCTCCTCCTCCTTCCGTATTCATCTTCTCCTCTCCTCCTCCTCCTCCTCCTTTCCTCATCTTCTCCTCCTCCTCCTTTCACCTTCTCTCCTCCTCTTCCTCCTTTCTTCTTCTCTCCTCCTCCTCCTCCTTTCAGCTTCTTCTATCCTCTTCCTCCGCCTCCTTCTCCTTTCGTCTTCTTCTCTCCTCCTCGTCCTCCTCCTCCACCTACTTTCGTCTTCTCCATCTCTCCTTCTCCTCCTCCTCCTCTCATCTTCTTCTTCTTCTCTCCTCCACCACCTATTTTTGTCTTCTCCTTCTCCTTCTCCTCCTCCTCGTCCTCTTCCTTTTTCCCCCCCCCCCCCCCCGTAATCCCCATATACTACCGGCTGGTCCTCCTCCTCCTCCTGCTCCTCCTTCCTCTCGTCTTCTTCTTCTCTCCTCCTCCTCTCGTCTTCTTCTTCTCTCCTCCTCCTCTTCCTCGTCTTGTCCTGCTCTCCTCCTCCTCCTCCTCCATCTGTTCTCCTCCTTCTTTCCTCTCCTCCTTCTTCCTCCCCTCCTCCCCCTCCTCTCATCTTCTTCTTCTTCGTTGTCACCTCCTACTCATCATCTTTTCATCTTCTTCTTCTTCCTCCTTTCTTGATCTTCTTCTTCCTCTTCCTCCTCCTCCTGCTCATCCTCCTCCTTATTCTTTTCTCCTCATCCTCCTTTCCTTCCTCCTCTTCGTCTTCCTCCCCCTCCTCCTCCTTCTGTCTTCTTCTTCCCTCCTCGTCCTCCTCCTTTTGTCTTATTCTTCCCTCCTCGTCGTCGTCCTCCTCCTCCATATCTTACCACCCACCATCTCGCACATCCGCCAGCCATATTGCACCACCCGCTACATCCTACTGCCTGCTATCTCCCGTTCGTTTTTTTTTCCCCTGCCCCCAAAAAAAGACGTACGCGGGCAGACAGCAGCTTCATTCACAACCGCCCATACTTCTTTTTCTTCTTCTTCTTCTTCTTCTTCTTCTTCTTCTTCTTCTTCTTCTTCTTCTTCTTCCGATATTTTTACTTTCTTTTTTTCCTAGCTGTTGGTCCTTGCATCCTCTACTTCCACGACATTATGGCGGGCAGTGGCAGCGGCGTCGGCAGCGTGAATGGCAGGTCTGGAAGGATGCGAGCAGACAAAGGAAGTGGCTTTTTCTTCTTCGTCTTCCTCCTCCTCTCTAACCCCTCCCCTCAGCGGACTGGCTGCTGCAACACACCCTTTTACCCCCTTGTCACC